CTTGGGAAGCGCAAGTGTGCGCGAGTTTTTCTACGGCGCTTTTCTTTCGTCGGTGAGTTGGTTTTTCTTCTATTTTTAAGTTACTAAGGTGAATGGTGAGGAAACCTTCGTCTTAACTAAACATAAGCCCCAAACAAAATATAATGAAAGCAAAATAAAAGTAAAATAAAAATAAAGCTCAGACTTGGTTCCTTACAGACCAAACTCCCAGTGTTCAGGGAACAGAACCACTTGGCCACTGATAGCCCTCCTCTCGCTTTGGACTGGAATGTTGCCTGCAAATAGGTGTTAGACAGTAGATACAAGTAACTGTCTAAAAACTTCATAAAAATTCGATAATTATGATCACTTTGGATAGAATAAATATTAAAACTTGAGTCTGGAAAATTGAAAGCAACAAATCAATGTCAGACGACTATGAAATCCTTCAACCTGATATAAATGAGCCGTCCTGCTTGATTAATATAAATTCAATAGTGATGACAACTGCTGGAGACTTGCCAGAAACAATTTCATTTTTTTTTTCTTTTTTTAAACAATAATGCCTTTTTTTTGTTGTTGTTGTTGAAAGTATTATATTATAGACTTCTTGTTGATCACGCTACAGCCATTTCGCTACCTTCCCTAACCGAATTTTCTACCATTCCTTTACTGGATAAGTGGGATCGAGATGACTTTTCATTGCAAAATAGTGCAGACGATTCGCTGGATTCATTAGATATGGTATCACTCGTTTCCTGAGCTTGTTGAATCGACTTATCATCTTTTCCTTTTGTCTCTTTACTGTGTTCATCATCATCTGCATCTTCTGTCTCTGAAGTTGAAGAGTCAGATCCATGTGGCGGAACCTCATCTATTGGATGCGGGAGTGGTGGACAAGCACACTTTGCAGCAAGTTCTTCATAAGTCATTCCTTGCAGTAGACAAACCAGTACAACAGTCATGTTGTCACAACCTAGTCCTCCCATTTGACAATCTGGAGCTAAGCACAAATTCATCAATTCCTCACAGATCTATAATCAAAACAATTTATTTTAAGTACAGATGAACTTTTCATTTACAAAATAATTATTAAAAAAGCATGTATATAAAGAAAACTTATTTATTAAAAATAATAAACAACAAAGCACCCAGTATGCCAATGAGTGAGCCATAGTACAAATTTCAAGTTTATTTATGCAGACAGTGCAGTCTCAAAAGGAAACACGTTCATATGTTTTCTTTGTTGTTCAAACATACAGACAAGAAACTAGCAAATATCTTGTTCACCACGGAAGAACTACAACATGGTAAACAATTTTATAGTTTTATCTTTATGATGGTTTGGACTGGTATCAGTTGGCTAGACAAGACAGAGAATTTTGTGTCTGAGACTAAACAGATTTGCATTTTTACCTCTTTTGCATTATATAAAGAATCTTTGATAGTTTTTTGTTTTAAACAGATTGTGTAATGCCATTCAGCAAAATATTCAATGTAACTAATGGAATCAGACAGTTTTGCAGATACATCTTGTTGAGAAAGTGAGAGGAGTCCTCTCACTTTGGTTTGATTATTAAGTTATGGCAACTTCGGTGATCTGTCTAGGGGGAATGACTTCTGGGAGGTCTTTTTAAGGGTGATATTCCAAAAGTTGAATAAATCAAATGAATCTATCTTTGTCTTATTAATTTTATAGACAAAGCTATTATTCTTAGTGCCCTCTTGCAATTAGATTTACAGGTGCAGCTGTAGCCATAATTTATAAGGGTAAATATGTGTAAATAAAATGATCTATTTATAGATTGCATCACAAGTCAGGAAACTCGGTATTTATTTGTTGAGTGTATCTTATTCTGCAAAGAGGAATATATGAGAGCATTTATAATCAAGTGTTATTAGAAACATTAAGCATTGAAACCTAAAAAAAAACTAACAAATTCAACTGCATTTAGAGTTAATTACTTTGCTCTATAGCAAAATTTTACTTTTCTGACTTAACCCTTTTAATGGTAACTTTGTTGTAATATTCTAACATTAATTCAGAATTCAATTTTTTAATTAATTTAATTTAAATTATGATTGTATAGTTTTTGTTTAAATATAGTAACTGTAAATTGTTTTGAATCTAAGTATTCTTACATTCCTTGTGAAACACTGACTCAAACTTAGAATACGTAAACTTGACTTACAGTGTATCTGTAGTTTACAGCCTTAAAATGCTAATTTGTGTGTATATTTGAAAATCCAGTTGTGTTTGGTCCCAATTATTCTGGATTTTTCATGCTTCACTGTATATACATACATCTGACAAGCTGAAAAGCTCCAAAATACAAGGACACTGTTTGTTGTGTATGATTTGTGATATTAACTTTAATTGCTTTATTTGAATCATTCTTTCAATTGACAATAAAGGCAACAACATTGTAAAAGAGCTGCACTATTTACAGAATAATTTTAATGTTTTGTTTAGAAATTGGTTGCTGTTTTTCAGTAAATTATTCTAAAAGAGCAGCAAAGATCTGAAATTAGTTTCAAATGCTATTTTAATATATTAATTAGCTTTAAGCAGCCAAATAAAGGAATTNTTTTCTTTCGTCGGTGAGTTGGTTTTTCTTCTATTTTTAAGTTACTAAGGTGAATGGTGAGGAAACCTTCGTCTTAACTAAACATAAGCCCCAAACAAAATATAATGAAAGCAAAATAAAAGTAAAATAAAAATAAAGCTCAGACTTGGTTCCTTACAGACCAAACTCCCAGTGTTCAGGGAACAGAACCACTTGGCCACTGATAGCCCTCCTCTCGCTTTGGACTGGAATGTTGCCTGCAAATAGGTGTTAGACAGTAGATACAAGTAACTGTCTAAAAACTTCATAAAAATTCGATAATTATGATCACTTTGGATAGAATAAATATTAAAACTTGAGTCTGGAAAATTGAAAGCAACAAATCAATGTCAGACGACTATGAAATCCTTCAACTTGGAGAAAATTTGGAGTTAAGGAAATTCAAGTTTGAGATGTTAAATCCCTATGCTATTCCATTGAGACCTACCAAATGCTTCATTTTCTTCAAGTTAAAGAAATATTCAAGTTAGATGTGTGAGTTACATACATACATATATATATATATATTGTTGCAAACTTTTAATCCTGCAAGCATAGAATCAAAAGTTTCTTCAAAGAAAGTCTCAACATCTTTATCACATGGATTTTGTCCATGTCAGCCCAAACTGGCCAGCTTCTGTAAGGTTATCTTTGATCTTTGTGCTGATGAATCGTCGTGTGGTATCAGACTGTCAATTTTTGGAGTGTATAGTAACATTCAAGTATTATGCTAATTCTCTGGAAGTCATCCACAAATTGTCATCTATCAGTTGCAGGAAAATATTGTCGTCAATGGTGGAATCACTGCCTGAATAGGGTTCACCTTAAAACAAGGAATCTCCATCCTTGAAGCAATTGTAGTAGGTCTGCCTGTTGATTGTCTCTTTGCCAAATGCCTTGTAGATGAGATAATGAGTCTTTGTGATGTTGTAACCACTTTTGAAGTGACAGAGCAACAGCACACAAATGTGTTCTCAAATAAAAAAGTGGACCAAAAGTCCTTTAACATTTCAAACAGTCATAAAAAATAAACATGCTGTGTTAATCAACAACTGTTTATTGTATTTTAAAGTATACAAATTATGGTTTTATTTTTTGAATATAATTGAACCTTGTTTATTTTTACACTCCTGTAACCTGGAATGGAAATTTTCCATGACTACCTGACAAGTGGTTGGTGAAATGTTTTGCATTTCATTGCATGTTTTCTTTTAGTTCTTCAATAGATTCTGGATTGCTGATGTAAACTTTACTTTTAAGATATCCTAAAGGAAAAAAGTCCATTGGAGAGAAATCCGGGCTGCAGGGCAGCCAGTTAGTGTCACCAGCATTTCATCAGCAAACTGCAGTCTCTTTGCATGGTCACTAAACTTCCATTCCTGTACAATTTAAATTTTGTACAGGTGTAAATGTAGGTCCTTGTGTAGAATGCGTTTTAGAGATGTTCTGGGCACATTTAAGACACTAGACCGCTTTCGAGTGGACAGGCAAAGTTGCTCTTAAACGGATGCTTGTACACGCTCTATGTTTTCCGGCTCTCTCAATGTCCTGGGTCGGCTGAATCGTGGCTGCGTTAATGTTGAACCCATCGTCTTGAACTTCCACACCCAATTCTTAATTGTTTGAATTGTTGGAGCTTGATTTGCATTCCATATATTGTATTGAGAACAAAATTTCCGTCTAGCTTCGGTCGCAGAATCGTTGTTTTGATAGTACTCGCAAACACAAAGCACACATTGTGGCCGGTGAATGACACCACGACACTAAATCCTTAATGACCACTCTCATGTCTGGTACCTTCCCCGCCCTGATACCAGCACCCGTGTGGCAGCAGCAGGCTTTTCAAATATTATGAGACTTTTGGTCCACCCTCAGTGGGCCAGTCAACCACTGAACTGAACTTATTGGCATACTAGGTAATGATTCTTTTGTATTTGCATTAAAAGAAACCACATTTATACTCCATTATATGATTAATCATTATTGTTTATTTAATGGCTAAAATTAACTGTTAAAATATACTTATATTTATATTTAAAAAATTTTATAAAAGGTCAGATGGGATAAGTGCACCCTCAATTTTGAAATTCAAAAGGATTCCACTGGTCAGGCAGAGCAAAGACTACCTGATTTCAAAAACTACTTGCTGGAATAACTTGATTCTATAGCAATAGGAGATGAATATCGCGTCTCAAATGAGTATTATTTGTTGAAAGAGAATATGTTTAAAATAATGCCGGAGGATGGGATGCACTTACCCTTATAATAAGGGTATGTGCACCCACTGCTATAACAGCTAAGAAGATAAAAAAATCAAATGCCAGACTAAGTGTGGCAAAGCATTTATTTACATTTAATATGCTCCACTGCAAGTATGACTGTAGTAAATGAAGTAATGATGGCACAGTAAAAAAAACATAGTAAAATTGATGTTACAGTAGAGCGTCATTTATCCGAAGCAATTGGGGACTGGGGTTGTTCAGATAACTTATTTTTCGGATAACCAATTATGTACGAAAAAATATATTAATTTATCCCGTGTTGAAATTTTTCTCTGTTGCGTGTCGCTTCGCATTAAATTTTTGTCGATGTTAAGCCTAACGAAGACTATTGTATCGTTAAAAATTATTTTTTTATTTTGTACAAACAAAATAAATATATTGAAAAATATAAAAACAATAAAA